TGTTCTCTTGATTCTTTCATTGGGGTCCAGTATAATTATAGGAAGAAAACTAATAATAATGTCTCTGTATTACAGGTGAACCTTGATAACTTGAACATATCTGAGTCGGTGTTGGTGAAACTTGCCGCTTTCTAACTTCCCGCACACCCAACCTGCCGCAAGCAGTTGAACTTGCCTCTGTCACAACTTGCCGCAGTGTTAACTTGCTGCTGTCACAACCTGCTGCAGTGTTAACTTGCCACTGTGATAAGTCACCTCAGGTGGAAGTTGCCACTGCAACAACTCACCACTGTAATGACTTGCTGCTATCACAGTTTGCCAAATGAATTGCAGCCACTTGCCATTTCATTGTCTAAAATTTAGGGAAAAAAAAGCATTCCCACATTCTTCCACTTCTTAACTAGGCATTCTGCTGTTTGAAATTTTTTAGAATATATAGAGGGGGTTTCAATGAATTCCTTCACCCTGAACTAGTACTATTGGTGGCTAAATTATGTGAATTTTATTTTTGATGGTAAGGTTTTTTCCATATTATTGTATTGTACATTTTTTTCAATTGCATACATGTTCTGCTGTGAATCAAGTTTTAAAAAGTTCTAGAACTGTCTGAATTAATATTCAAGTACAGCATGTTGAAAGAGTGGCAACTTATAACTACTGCAAGTTGTGACTGCGGTGAGAAATGATTGCGGCAACTTGGTGCAGAAGCAACTTGTGACTGCGGTCACTTCAGGCTGCGGTCAGTTGCAGCAGCAACAAGTTAGGGTGTGGCAAGTTGGAGTGCGGCAAGTTCAACTGCGGCAAATTTCACCCGCACCATCTAAGTCATGACATAATGAGCACATTTTAATGCTTCTTGGTAGAAAGATAAACCAGCGTGGTCACTGACTTTATTACAGTCTTCCGTTTGCAATAAAAAACATTTCTTGTATGAAATGTTTGACCAGTGGATTTTCATCGCGATGAAAACTTGCACGTGACTGTTTTTAATTTATTCTTATGCCCAGTTTCATTGAGCAATGAATCATTTTCAAAATAATCAATCCTTTTGGTAACGTACCAGCAGTTGTTATGTTGTACCTGACTACCTTGCAGTTCGTATTTATCAAACTAATTCTATATTACAGTATTATCATTGATTTATTCCTCACGTGCGTAGAATTTTTCGGTGTAAAATTTTCAAAATAATGATGTGATTTCAAGACGGAGTTAACATTGCAGTATAAAGAAAATGCGTTTGCCGGTTATGCAGGAGTTATGTATTCAGTATACATTGGTTGACCTAATTTATTTTATGTTTCTTACAGCTTTACACGCGTGCAGCATTAAAATTGGAACATGACCAGTTATAAAATTAAAATTGGATCCCAAATAAGGCTGGACCAAAACATTCAATGAAAAAGATTACAAAAAGATTCATCTGACAAACAAAAACTCATCCATCAATTTATTTAAGAGTTTAAATACTGTACAGTACATAATTTTGACTTTTGAACATTCCCTTGTAATATAATTTTGTTCCTAAAAATCTCTTTACAAATTTTTTTCATACAGTAAATATTTTTCCTTGTCCTTTCAGCATCATATACAAGGGTTCTAACAAAAGTTCTTGGAGTAGCGATGAAAATGGCATACAATTGAGCTGAAAAAATGTATTCTTTAGCAAAAACATATTCTTTGGCACACAAAAAAATCAGCCTTGTTTGACAATTTTTTGTTGTTGCAAAATTCATCCTTATAGAGTTTTGCTCTCCCCTCAAAAAATGAGGCGCCCTTTTTTGTTGTAGCCCAGCTTTCCCCTCAGAATTTTTGAAATCAACTTGGCATTCTTTCTGAGGGTTGCCTCCAGGTCATCCAAGGCAATTCCCCCATTTTCATCAACAGCCGCCTTTGTAGCCATCAAAGTGGCGGCTGTGAAGGCGGCTGTTGATGAAAATGGCGGAATTACCTTGGATGACCTGGAGGCAACATTTGGCATGAATGCCACATTGATTTCAAGAATTCTGAGGGGAAAGCTGGGCTACATCAAAAAAGGGCGCCTCATCTTTTCAGTGGAGAGCAAAACTCTAATGATGAATTTTGCAAAAAATTAAAAAAAATTGTCAAACAAGGCTGACTTTTTTTTCTGTGCCAAAGAATATATTTTCGCTAAAGAATACATTTTTTTCAGCTCAATTGTATGCCATTTTCATTGCTACTCCGAGAACTTTTGTTAGAACCCTTGTACAATAGTCACATTGCTGATACATGGGATGATGGGAGTCACAATAATGTATCACAATTTTTAGTTACAATTAACAGGATTTTCTCTCTTTATTTGGAGAAATTTCCAACTGCAGTGGAACTTATCTACAAACAAATAAGGATAAAACTGCTTGAAAGAGCCTAAAATATGTACAAGTTGAGCGCATTTTTAATTTCGGATAAGAGTACAGTACAATACATGTACTGCGTGCTAATTAGAGTTTAGACTCTTTCGAAACAAAACAACTCTGTGCTGCTCGCCGCCTTAACAGTAGCAGCTGCCATGGCGCTTCTCATGTATTTCTGCAGAAAACAGGGACCGCATCCTGCTCATTAAATGGTGGTGTAGTTTCTCGCCGGAGAAGGAAGCCACGCCAGCCGTATTCCGCGCCACTGCACCCCCCATCCCCTCACTCCCTATCCTCATCACTCTCTCGTTTACGCACACTAGTGACAGACTTGAGGGTTTGAGTTTACATTGCAGTGAGCGGTGTCACAGGACTACTGTGACATTAGGTCTAGTAAGGTTTCTTTTAATAAAGAAAACTTGACTTTTTTCCTGTAAACTGTCTTTCAATGAAAATTAAAAATTCTGCTTCTGCAAACATCATTTTTCAAATGTGCAGACCTTTTAGAAATATGGTTTGAAAATAATGCTGAGGTTGCTCAGGACCTCAGGTTGTAGGCGTGACTGGATGTGATGAGGCCTGTTTGACAAGTCAAGTTTAAAAAACCAGTTTCACTAATAGAAGCACCTTGATAAATATGTCATTGATATGTATAATTGTCTGAGTATGTGCATTCATGAAAGCATGAAAGTTATCAAAAAAAATTAAATGCTTTCCAAAGTTTCTTACCATGAATTTTAGGAAGAATCTTCAGAGCCTTCCAGGTATGGTGTTAAATTATTGCTTATGGCAAGAAAATCAAACAAGTGGCCAGTTTTTAAAAGGTTGTTAATCTCAAAATGTGTTCAATTCACCAATATGTTTCTCAAGTTTGCTAAACCCTGCATAGATGGCAAGAGTGTCGCAGCAGGGTGCAAGAAATTTGCTGGTTCCATCGGGGTTAGCCCTCTAGGGGGGCAGCCTTGAAGTGAGTGGCGTTGAGTTTGGAAGTGTACCATACAGTCCAGGCTGCCCGGTAACTCGTGCAAGTAAGTGTTTTGTGTCTTCCTGCATTTTTCCCTTGCTGATATTCGAGTGCAAGTGAGATTTTGATGACATTTATGTATTGTGTTGTTTGCTGGAAGGTTGAAGTTTTATCTTCAGTGAGGAGGAGTTATTGTGAAGTCACGAATGTTTTTCATGTAGCAATCTTTCTAGATGGTTGAAGTGAGCTATGATGCCCCAACAAACTCGGACACGTAATATTTGGAACTGGAGATCTTGGTGCAAGAATTCATCTCAACTTCCTTGGATGCCCTGGACAATTTGGGTATCCAGCCCTTAACTGATCAAACCAAGTTGGTCTCTGCATGGGAAGGATGACTTGATTGGGTTGTCCAGACAATGAGAAGATGCTCATGATGGTGAAGATCATTCTGAATAATAAGGATGATACAAAGATGCTCACCCTTTTATAGTGAGTCCAATTTCTCAGCCTTCTATGAATAATAATTTGTGTATAATTTATGCTAGCTGGCAATTGTGTTTTTACTCAAAAATATAAAAAAATGCAACGGATTTTTCATTCTTTATTGGTATTCTTCAAGATCTGACTTGATGCTTGACTCAAATTTTGTATTCATCCCATGTTCATTTTGAAGCAGATATTGTCATATACCGTACTTTTCTTTTTCCAAGTGATATTCAACCATTACTGAGGGATTAGGAAGAATTAGGAAGAATCTTCTCATGCATAAGTTTGTGGGGTTCATTTTTTCTGGAGGCGCAATCTTGAACTAAAGTTATTTCGCTTTTTGTTAGTTACATATTGATGAACATGAAAATGAGTCCATGGATAACTTATTGAGCCAAACAGTGGAAATTCTGTCAGTATATGCATATCCTGAATATGTTGCCCAAAACTGATGAAATGGTGCAGTATAGGCTAGTTGAGAATTTGGAAGTTTTGAGGCCATGGTGTAGTTGACCTTTGAAGTCAGGTAACAATATTTTATTAAGTTCTTGTTGTGTTGTTTACATTGGTGTACCTGGCCAATGTTTAAAAGGCATAATGAACTGAGTCATTTCCTCTATATTGAGACAGTCTTGATTTACAACCATTTAATTTTGTATCTTCCAGACTGCACTGCTGCTGAGTGGTCTCACTTCCACCTCCTCATGTGCCGCTTGGGATCCTAGGTGAATATCCAAAGAAGAAGACGTTGTGCATTTATGGTTATCTGCATGTGCAATCTGCCCAAATTGTGAGCCTTCATAAAACACTACATGCGCAGTAGAACTCCAAATATGACCAGGTTAAGCAAAGGCGAAATTTTATATTTCCATTCAGTACTGGATGTCCTTCTTCATAATACAGTATAAATGCTCATTATTTTTGAAGAGTTTGAACCTGTGCTGCTTACCAAACCTGATGGGAAGCTTTACACATGAGGGTCAACTGATGACAAAGGTCCTATGCTTTGATAATTCCCTATTGCACAATTAAGGCATTGGTGTTTTGTGGAATGAAACAACAATGCCTTAATTGTCTATGTTTTGTTCTTCATGTTAATTTCTTTTGTCTACCAAGATCAGGCATGTTCCTTTTCGTTTGATCTTGATTTTCATGGGTGATTTCTTGAATTTCAGGAAAAGCAATTTTCAGAGTTTGCCCAGGAAGGTGTCTGGTATGAATCTGACATTCCTTTGCTATATTTTGTGCTGGAAGGTTTGGAAGAAAGCAGAAGCGTTGGCCTGGACAAACACCTGAAGTGCAAGGAATTTTTTGCCCTGGACAATTTCAACTGGTCTATTGAGTGTGCTTCTAAGGATCTTCATTTGAGGGCACATGGAGGCTCCTGTAAGTCCTGTATGTAAGCTCATTAAATTTCTTGGGGTCTATTGTTTTTAAATCTGAATACCTTCGAATGAGTCTAATTCAAACCTCAAAAGGGTTATCTTAAATTTTTTGTCTTTTGCTCATGCTAGAATGATATGTATGCTTTGGTATGTTTCTCTGCAATTCAAGGTTTATCCTCATGTTCAGCATTGAAGGAATAAGTTGTTTCAAATGATTCTTCAAGTGAGTATTCTTTTTCCTGCCCACCAATTCCTGAGAAAATGTGCAAATGGCGGCAAATCATATGCAAAATTCCCCACCTTGTTATCTTGCAATCTAGCTTGTGCTTGAAGTTCAAGCACACTGCAGCTGTTGCCACTTTGATCCCATGGATGAGTCAATGTAGTCTTGTGGTAATGTGTTGTCATACGCCAATTATTTAATGAAAAAAATGTGAGTAGAGCAGAAGTCAATCAAGGAAACGCTGTTTCTGTAAATTTTTGGCACAAATCAAAATTAGGTGCAATTTTCTTATCAATCACACCCCACATTGGCGTTCTTGATATTCCTGCCATGCAGAAGGTTTTCATATTTGTTGATTGTGACTGTGCTTATAAGAATAAGGTCATTTAAATTGAATACATGACATTGCAGCCATGGAGGTGGGGGCTAAGCATGATTTTGATGGCAATGCAATGGATGAATTGAGTTTTTGTATGGGACAAGTTCTGAAGGTAAGCCTTGAGTGCAATTGCATGTTCTGTCATTTCTGATCAAAATTTTTCTGAAAATGGAAGATGATGCAAATTGGTTCAAAGTGTAGTCCAAAGGTCAATAAGGACTTGTTCCCAGCCATTACATAGAAATGTGCCCTCACAAGTGAGGATTGATTCATGCAAGTGTTAAGCCTCAATTAGAAATGTTTCTTCCTTTCTCAGGTGGTACCATAAATTAATTAAAAGAGCAGATACTGAGCGATTTTTAATCGAAAAGGAAGGAGAGTGTTTACAGCTTTGCATTAGCAAAAGCTCACCTGGCAACTTCTCCGTTTTTGTGAAGTGAGATGTCTATATTCCGTATGCATGTGTAGTCTTTTGCCTGCACCATTAAGAAGATTTTGAGAATGTTGTTTCATTGAATCCTCTGTTTTCTGCTTGAATTCTGTTGCCATTGGAGTTGAGCTAGTAAAACTTAAGTCTACGCATAATGTGAGTATTTTATATACGGAAATTGCATTTCAAGGTTCTGCATGATCCGAAAGGATAACGTTTTATGTGGGTTGTCAAATTTCATTTCTTAAATGAATTGGTTAACTATCACCATTGTGCGTCTGTTTCATGATCACAGGATATAAAACTGTGAGATCCAGGATGAGAGAGAGTGATTGGAAACATGATTGTGTTTGCAGTGCTTTCATCATCTCCCACAGAATTCTGATCTGAATTCCCAGCAGTTTGTTGTTCATGCGGTGTAAAACTTCCCTCCTAAAGATGTGGGCAAGTTGGGATTCTTGTGTGTGACAGCCTCACTATCTTCAATTTGCTTTGGCAAATTATTGCATTGTTAATGATGATCCTCCTGTGTTCTTTTTTTCCCTATACGTGATCATGGAAACGCTCAATGGAGACTCAAAAGTTGGATCATTGCTTGCAATGTGTGTTGTTTGGTGTCCGAAAGTATTCACTTTTCAAAAAGACCAGCTGAACTGTTGCTCAGCCAGCTCTGTCAAGATCTCTGTTAGATTATGAACAGGGTGTTCACATTGGTTGGAAGTTTCAATCAGGTTTGGTCTGCCATAGTTCTTCTAAATTTGAATTGATCAGTGTTTAGAATATGCCCTCATCCTATGCCTCCATCTTTTTGATTTCAATTGACCTTAAGCAGGTAGATCTAAAAATTTATTTCATCTTGGAATATATGAACAGTATTTTGTATTGAGTGAATCAGTTCCTCCCTTGGAAACCATCTTTTTTTGAGTGCTTTTCAAAATTTAAAAATATGCAGAGTCTTCTCTAAGCATTGAATGTTTCTGAGTTTCTTTCTTTGAATATTTTCCCTATTTTTGTTAGCATGGGAAGTGTCAAAATTATTCCTGCCACATTTCTCCAAGTCTATAGTTCTAGGCAAATTATCTGAGATCTGGAATGGCTTTCAAAAGAATATTTTTGTTTTTCGACCCCACAGACACAACATTGGTGACCCAAAATGGAATTGTTTGCCTTGAGAGCATGATAGATTGTTTGGAAGCCACAATGACCCCAACAAGAAAACCTTGAAGTCAGGAGGTAGACATTTGTCCTATTTGCTATGCCTGCAAAGTAAATAGCACCTTTGTGCCTTGCAAACATTGTGCTTGCAGGTGAGTCATTTTTACAGCATCTTTAAAATTCTGTGTTTGAAAAACTTTTGTCTTTTGACTATGCTTTTGTCATCATGAGGTGAAGATAGTTCTGAACTCTATTTTTTAAAGTTTCAATATCACTATTGTACTTTCATTTCATCTACAGTATAGATATACTCCACTCATTATTTCAATTCTTGATACTTCCATTTGTATTACCATGTGCTGCTATTAATACAGATACTTGCATCTAATACTTTTGGTTGATGAGGGATCTGAAGTCATTGACATTTTTTTCTAACAGGTCTTTGAAAAAAATTAATTGAGCATGTACCAAAGAGAGCTGTTGATGATATTGGGAGATAAACATTTATGTATTCTAAAAACTGGAAGAGTGAGAACAGTCCAATTAAAATAATCTTTTATATCATGTTGCAGGAAATGCATTGCTCAGTACCTCATGAACCTAAGGGAATGCTTCTTCTGCAAGACCATCATCTTGGGTGTTTTAGACAACAACGGAAAGCAAATTCCAGACCTGAAACTCCTGCCACAAGTACCATCTCCATCAGAAAGAGGACAAAGGACCTGTGCAAGGGCAGGGCCACTGCCAAACCCAGGTGGTCAAAATACCAGAATGCACCCTAGCTGTTGACAACATAGTGTCTTACACTGTGCCATATATGAATAAGCATGTATGATTGTTCTCTCTATTACTATTGGCAGATTAAACTGCTGTGTGATTGTCCAGATTGCATTTTTTAATTATATTTGGGTGAAATTGTGCCCATGAGTCCGGGAAAAGTTTCTGGTGATTTAGGCAAATGGCAGGCATTTGGGCATCTGTTTGTTGTGTTATCTCTTGCAATTTTAGCATTTCTTCCATCCTTAAATCTTCCTGCTCTTATGAGAATGAAACTTATTGGATGATTTTCTTGCAGTTACTCATCTATTCAGGAAGGTTTATCCAAATATATTATCAAAATATGAGGAATTTCATAGTTGAGTAATGAATTGCACTCTAGAGTTTGGTCAAATTTTTGAATTTGCTGTGATTTGAGCATTTTCATGATAATTCCTGATGGGTTTTTCCAGGGTTGATATAACTTAGGATCAAGATTTTTTTTGCATCATCAGGATGTGTAAATCCCTGTGTACTGATTTTTTAGTATCAATCATTGAAAAAACTTACTGAGCTACCTTTTTTCATTTATGAAGGGATATTGGACTTGATATACAAGATGAATAGTGTGATGGCTGTTGACAGAAAATTGAAAATAACTGGTATTTACAACATTGTTACATCTTTGACTGATAAAGAGCAAGACATTCACAAAGACACTGAGTTAAACAAATTCAGATCAGATATTGCAGTAAAACGATCTATTTCAGAAAGAGAACAAGGTTGTAAGCTACATGGTTTATAGCTGACAGGGATTTGAATGAAGAGAACTCATCTAATTGCAGGTTGAAGTCATGATGCACTGCAGGCATAATCCATCCATGATTTTAATTTGCCTTTATTGAACATGGATAAAGCCCTGATCCAGTGCAATGTTATTGGAAAATTTTCCATCTGGATTTTACCTGTTCCCACAGTGAAAATGGTCCAGTGTAGTGTTGTGGAATATGTGAAAAATATTTGAACAAAGCATGGAAGTCTTGTCACAAAAGTTTGTTGATCTGGAAATACATTAAAATCTTGTAACAACAAATAATCTAAAACAAATATTTCAGTAAAACAAAATTTTCTCAAGGCCTGACAGAAAGCCCATCAAGTATATGTTGAAGCAATATTTTCATAATAAACTGCCCCATTCCATTACAACAAATCTTTTTGAGAAACATTTTGGGATTTTCATTTGCCTGAAGAAATATTCTGCTGAAGACAGGCATAGTCTCAGATTTCTCATTTCAAATGGGAGTTTGACTGGTTCTTGTGACATAAACAAAAGGTGGTAACAAGTTAAAATTGAAATTTTGACTGAATGTTTTGAAGGTGCTTCCTGGCTTAGGATGGGGTTGGATAATAAAATTGAATCCAACCCAACTCTTATTGTCACAAGAGGTGCAGGAATTGGTGTTTGGATGCTTGAGAAACCCTACTACTTGAAAACTGTAAGCTTTCTTGAAACATCCACCCAGAGGAATTTCTGCATGAATTGTTAACTTATTGAAGCTTTCAAAAAGTGTTAGTGTTCACCATTTATTTGGAGTGAATATTCACTAGTCTCCACCACACACAGAAAAGTATTAAACAAAATATTGAAATTTCTCTACCTGAAATTTGGCTTGGTCAGATATTTTTTCAGTTTCAAATTCCCAATAATGAAAGCAAAACACGGAAATAGCTAGGAATTTCAGCAAAAATGTTCATCAATTCGTTTTTTTTATAATTTTGATTGCAATCACTTTTCTGTGCTCTTGAGAAAAAAAGGACTTTTGGCAAGGGAGGCTTTCCTAGGTGGGCTTTTGGTTGAGTACCATTACAATTCATACCAAGGTGCACAAGATGATCCCAACCCTCATTTATCCGCAGGATACATGAAACCGAAAAAAGTAGCCCTTTCCTCTCCTGGTCAGCCGGGCATTTTTTTCCCGGAATTCGGAATTTTTCATCCTGGGGACGCAGGACATCCTTATTCCCCATGACTCGCACAGCACAAACTTGCACGTCGAGACATTACAGCAGCAGCAAAAAATATGTAGTCAAAATTTGCCTGACATATTGTAAGTCTGGCAAAATCTCAAAGGAACAAGTTGGGTAAAATCTAGAATAATTTCATTATTATTTTTTTACCATTTTCTCTTCTAACGTATGATGGAACTAAAACAAAACACTTCCGTGTATATTCCAACTTGTTTCTGCATTCATATTTTGTTTCAAAAATGAATTTTCTTGCTGTGCTCTGTATTTTTCCAGGCTTGCAACAGGCTGACTTTCATCAGGCTATACATGATGGAGAGTTCAGGTGGGGAATCAATGGAATCCTTTGAGATAACTGTAAGGTCATACTTTTCTTGTTGCCTATTGTATTCCAGCAACCCACCTTATTTCAGCAAGGCTTTGTCTTACAGATTGTATTAGCAAACTCTTGGATGGAAGGGTGGTGTCTGTTTTGAATGATGTCCCAGAAAAACGAAGAATCCAAAAATTGCCCTGGCCTTGTCTGAGCGGGGAGTCCAGGAGCCGAGCGGCCGGCAGATGTCCATCTCAAAGGGCCTAGCCTGACCCTTTTTTTGTGACCATTACTGCTTGTAAATGAGTTCCTTGACGCCTCACCTTTAGCCAAGTGAAATAAACAAACCTTGAAATAATGATTCTATATTCAACTGAAACTCTTTCATTGTGTTGGGCACAGAATAGAAATGTATCCACAAGAAAAAAAAAACAACAGAAAACACTTCCATTCAGAAGTCCTGAGATACTCT